CTCGCCAGACAGACAGACAGAGACATAGAGACAGAAAGCGAGAAATCACCCCCCAGGGGGGATGGTCACGCCACAATCCCTTCTCCTCCATTCTCCTCTCAGGATCTTGGGCACGCACGCACACGCGCCCGGCGTGAGATTTAAGCCACCGGGTCCGAGACATGAACCGCGGTCGACTATGTGGGAGTTCAGCGACATAGCCATTACGCTAACTGCTGGTTCCCCATAGTTTTCTTTATAAAGGTCTTTGACTTTCTTAGTTAGGTTTATCCCTAGGTATCTTATACATCTTGTGGCTATGGTGACAGGGATTCCTTTCTTCAGCTCTACTTCATTCTACTTGTTGTTCACATACAGAAATTCTGTAGATTTTTGGATGTTGATTTTGCATCCTGCCACTTTACTGTATTCACTTATTACTTCAAGTGGGTCTTCTAAACACCATCATGTCATCTGCGAATAAAGATATTTTCAATTCTTCTTTGCCTATTCAAATGCCTTTTATATTGTTCTCTTCTCTGATTGCATTAGCTAAGACTTCCAGTACTATATTAAAGAGCAGTGGAGAAAGTGGTCAGCTTTGCCTAGCGGAATAGATTTTAGCTTTTCCCCATTCAGTATAATGTTAGCTGTAGGTTTTTCATAGATGGCTTTTATTGACAAACACACAGTTTTCAAGCCACCAGGCCAGGACTCAAATTTTACTCAACCATTTGGGATCCAGTACCCATAACCACTAGGCCATGGGGCTGGCCCATCAGTGAAGAGTGCACTTGAGTGATTTATAATACATAATACATACATCTATAACCCCTTTCCTTTGTTGCATTAAAAGTGAAAAGTTGATTCCTATTTACAGTTACTCACACAAACCAGATTCTGGACCAAATGTCAGCTGCTGTATGATCAACTAAACAATCCTTTTCATTAATTAATTAATTATTTTTTAAGGTTTTTGCCTTAGGGCACATGTGCTTGCCAAAGAGAGGGCAAAAGAGAGGGAAAGTGAGAAATCATTCCCCAGTGGGGATGTCCACACCACAATCTCTTCTCCATTCTCCTCTTGAGATTTTGTGTACATAAGCACATGTGCCCATGATTTTCTAGCCTCCAAGTCCAGGACTCAAACCATGGTCAGTCATGTGGGAGTCCAACATCTTAACTACAATGCCACTTGCTAGCCTCTAAAACAGTCCTTTTAAACAGCCCTTTCTAAAACTCATTTATATGAGCCATTTTATCAGGGTATGAGCCAAAAGTAAGGCTATGATGAATCAAGACTAACTACAGCCTAATTAAAACCCTTTGGAGAACCTTTGTATTGTAACTTGCTATTTCAAGGGAACAGAAAAAGAAGCTCAGCTGAGCTTTGACCCAAAGTTGTTCATGGTCTGTGGAGAAAGGGATAATGTCAAGCCATGATAAGAACCACCATAGTTTGGGGAGCTGTTTCACATGCAGCCGTGCTACATGGTTTAACCCATTTAATTCTCACAACCGTTTTCTAAAGGAGGTACTTTTAACCCATGGATATTCACATGGCAAAACTAAGGCTTGCAGAAATCAGGGATATCTCTGGGTTGATATGGAGGAGCCAGGAGTCAAGCTCGGTTCTAGCTTCTCCAAGGCCTTTGGTCTTCCTCAAAGTCCATGTCTCCCCACAGCATAATGTGGCCATCTACAGGGTTGTTTATTAGCAGTTTTTGTACTTAAAAACTTTCTTCAAGAACTAGACTTCTAGGCAAGACCTCCGAAGGAGTCAGATCACACGCAATGATTCCAATATTACTTTGTCTTTTCTGCTAGAAGCGTGTTCTTCTGGAGGAACGATTCACTACCTTGAAATGCGCTCATAAAACTCAGTCCCGAGGTCGAGCATATCCCAGTAAAGAAAGAGGTTTTTTACATTTTTGTCATTGGCTTAATAGTGTATATTGCCACTCACAAGTTGTATCCCAATCTATGGTATGTCACATGATACACTCAATTCTCTGTAGATATTACCCTAATTACATGTATCCTTAACTGAAATGTTTACACAGTTGTGATGGAACTGATTTTTATTAATTCTGCAGTATTCAGATTTTTCCCTCTGCCCCAGCTTGCCAAAGAGATCCTGTAATTACCTGCCCAGTGTTCCTCCTTATGACATGAGAGAATAATAAAATTTCTCTAATTATTTTGTGCTTGTTCAGGACTCTATAAACATGACTCGTCTCAGAGACTAAATCACCTGGAACACAGCTTCTTTAGCGTTGCACAGGAACACCTGTGAAAAGTTCTCAGTGCACCGGCATGGAAGCACATACGCCTTGTGGCATGGAAAGACGGAATGTGATTCCTGGAGCCACAGCATCCCTTATGTGTTATTCACAGGGTTGTCAGGGGATTACAGGAGATAATACACGGGAAAATCTCTTCCTTAACTGCAAAGCACTGTGCAAATGTGAGCTGTTATAACCAGGTGGTGTGTGCAATAGAGATTACCTTTTGCCAGGGGGTAATCATTTCAGTTTATATAACACTTTTCTCTCCAGGAGTTCCAACCTCTTGTGAATATTACCCTAAGAAATATCACTTGAAATAAAATGCACATAAATAAACAGTCAAGCAAACGGAGATACCAATTATGATGACAATGACGAAGGTCTTAAATGAGAACATCAACATTTTGACACGTCAGCTCTCAAGGATGTTGGCACTGTCGTCATAACACTTTCTGAGGGGAAAATCAATTCTCAACATTAATGTTTCCCATCGGTGTTGTCTATTTGGGAGAAGGGGGGAGGTAGAGGGAAACAGAAGTAGAAAACATTTTAAAATATGAATTTATTTCCCATAGCAGTACATCAAAAACTGAAATATAACTCCACAGCTCTTTCAAGAGTTTTTGTTTTCCAATGGCAAAGGGAGAGAAAATAAGCTGTCATTATCGGAATGATCAAACGCAGAGAGAAAAAAGGCAGAGGTAAGTAAAACACCAATTACAGCATTGCCAATCTGTGTGAATTGGGCTCCTTCCAAACGACAGTGCAAATGGATTTGAGGACGTGGGGAAGGGGATGCAGAGGGAGCAGGGAAGAGAGAGCTGCCAACATCCAAGACAGGGAGGCTTAGAGAAAGTGCCCCCTGGTGCTCTGACAGCAGCTTAATCAGGCAGAGCCCTGCACATTGCCATGCACCAATTCCATTGTGTATGTTCACTTGCAGATTTGGCTTCTGCCTCGCTCTCTTTGTTTGGGTAGCTATGCATGAAAAAGAATCATCTGCAACCAGAGCTCAACTTAATTCCCAATTCCTCTCTGGAAACTATCTGTTGGCATCGTGAAATGTGCTGTGTAAAAGGCCACGCTCTGACTGATCGAAAGTGGAATTTCAGACCCTCCATCAGAGTCTTTGTGGACAAAGCTAAGCCAATTCTCAGAAAGTGACAGAAGAGCCCTGTACCTCTGGCATAATTTGTGTCACCCCAGCATCTCACTGTTCTTGCCAGTGACAAACAGTAAGCCCAACAATTTTTCCTCTTTCTCCTGGCCAATGCATGGATGGCACAGCTGTTTTCTCACTATAAAAAGACAGTAACTCCTCTGTCACTCCAGCCTACAGCAAAAGGTCAACTTGCATTACCGATTAAACTACCATGTATCATGTGAAGAAACACCAAAGCAATTTGCCAGGAGGGGAGCTAAGATTTCTGATCATTTTACCCAACCCCCAACACCTAAATGTGAGCATGGCACTCAGTTGATATTGGACACACACACACACACACACACACACACACACACACACAAATCAGATAAATACAAAAGGACACTCCAAACAGTGTGGAGAAATACGGGGTTGGATGGTGGTATAGAGGTAAAACATGATGCTCTGTGAGGCAGGAAGTTTCCCGGTTCTAGTCTGGAGACCTCCCTTAGGAACACCCCCCCCCCATAACTTGACACTGCCTGAGTCTGAGGGATTACAATGCCCTGGGGGTGATCTGTCTGCCCCTCTCACTTCTGGAAGAAATAAGTAAACTAAAAAGAATAAAGAGCCAGCTCTGTGACCTAGTAGCTAAGGCAACCAGATTGCACACCGCTGACTGAGCAGTTTGAATCCTGGCCCATGCAGCTTGCAAAATATACCAGGTGCATGTGCATGCATGCCTAAAACCCCAACAGAGTAGAGAAATGGAGAAGGGATTGCACTGTGACCACTCCCTGTGGAGGATCATTTCTCTGTCTCTCTATCTCTGGAGAGTATACATACCCTCTGGAAAATAATAATAAAATATAAAATAAAATATGAGCCCATTAAAATAAAAAAAAAAGAAGACGATAGTAAATGATAGCCACATTTTGAAAATGGAAAAAGCAAGGTGGGGCAGTGAGTGGGATACAGGAGAAAGAACCAACCAGAAGCAAACCAATGCATGCCTCAGAATCCCCAAAGCTCTCAGCAATTGGGGACACCGAGTGTTGAGTGTCGCTGAAGGCTGGATGCTGAGGGGGTTGAAGACAGGACAATTGATTAAAAGTCTGTAAGAAGTGAGAAGATTTCAAGTCCCCTCATCGTCTCTATAAGCCAGGCAGCCAGGTCTCCCTACCTCAACAGAACACTGAAGGAACTTTCCCTGGAGATGTTGACATAGAGGTATTCTAGACCTGGGGACAAGACACAGCTAAAGATGAGGTGAGCAACCAACAATTAAATGGGGAGACTAAGTGAAAAACCACATAATAAACAGAAAGTCCAACTCAACTCCTTTTTTTCTTTCATGCTTGCTTTTCTTTCTTTCTTTCTTTCTTTCTTTTTTTTTTTTGTAAACTTTGCTACAAAGCACATGTGCTCACCAGAGAAAGACAGAGAGCAAGAGAGACAGAGACAGTGAAAAATAACCCCCCCAAGGGGGATGGGCATGTCACAATACCTTCTCCTCCGTTCTCCTCTCAGGATTCCGGGTGTGTATGCACATGCACCTGACGTGTTTTCAAGTCACCAGTTCTGGGATTCGAACCACCAGGTAGGCCATGTGGGATACAGTCCTCTTAACCACCATATCACTGGCTGGCCTCAACTCCTTCTTTATGTCATATTTTTCCTTCTTTACATCAGTTCTCATAAACACTGCCAATTTTGAAACTGCAGACAGGAGAGAGAAAACTAGTCACAAGGAATTAGAAATTAGAATGGCTTCATCTTCTCAGCAGCAACTCTGGCAGCTAGATTCTGACTTACTCCCATTCGGTCCCAGCCCTGCAGCTCCAATGCTTGGCTGTATATTTTGACATCATAATAGATGCTCACAAAGTACTGGTGTTTGCCTTGATACTGAATCATATTCAACCAGCCACTTATGACCAAAGAAAGGGCCTTGGCTCTTAGCCTAAAGAGATATCAAGAAACTGCTATAGCAAAGGGAAAGACCAGTGTGGATTGTACCCTTAGGCCCTCCATTCTTTGGATAGTATTTTACTTTTTTAAAAAAATAATCATTCTATTTGTGTGTTTATTTATTTTTAATTTGACCAGCAAGAGAGAAAGGGAAAGTGAGAAAGCAAGCCATCAGGTTCAGGACCAGAACCATAGTCAGCCATGTGGGAGTCCAGTACCTTAACCACGAAGCCACCTGCTGGCCCAGTGCTTTCCTCTTAATTCTCTGTCCTCTTATGATTATAACCTAAATGTCAACTGTAGCAGCCAAATCTCAAATATATGCCTGATTCCTGCAATGTACCAAAGACTGTTTTCATAAGCTCTCCTTTCTTTTTTTTCTTTTTTTTTCTTATTTTTTTTTGCTGGTGATTAGAAGAGCAATTGTATCATGAGCTTGGTTTAATGATTAAAGAGATGGCTTGGTGACATTCAGAGTGGCTGCTTTCCAGATCTATAACCACCATGCAACTGCAGAACAAAGAATGACCCGGGAAGGAGGCATTGGATTCAGGGCCCATAGCTTTGATATTACCTCATCACTGGAGCATCACTCTGAATTTCCCTTCCTTAGCTGCACTCAGGTGCTCGAAGTGAGCTAGCTCCTCAACAACTATGTAATGGAGACAAGCAGGTGATACCCAGAAAGGCAACCATAGTATATGGAACCAGTGTCTTTGACATCCAGTTAGAGAAGTCCTTTTAGTGAAGATAGAGGAGGAAAAGTAGGAGGAGGAAGAAGAAAAGAATGGGGCCAGCCAGTAGCATGGTGGCTAAGGTCTTGGACTCCCACACAGCTGAGTGTGGTTAGCTGACTGGGGATCTGGTGGCTCAAAACTCATGCTGGGTGTGTGTGCATGCATGCCCAAAATCCCAAGAGGAGAAGGGATCATGGTATGGCCATCCCCCTGGGGAGCAATTTCTTACTTTCCCTCTCCCTGTCTCTCTGGTGAGTGCACATGCCCTATGGCAAAAAACTAAAAAAGAAAGAAAAGGAAAGAATGGTCTCACCTTTTAAAGTGACCGATGATGTTACATTTCTGTTCAGAAAACCAGTAGGAAAGAAAAGTCAACCTACATGGCCTGAAAAGGACAATGAGAACCTAATTACTTTATATGAAACAGAATTTGAGAAAATATTCCTAGAGATTCAAATGCATACAACTCTATCACACGTCTATCAATAGCTCCTAGACTTTGTGTTTCTGCTTTTTGAACCTTATCACTGTCAAGATTAATCCTGCTTCACCCATGAGGAGGAAATTGGTACATTTCCAAGGTCAGAATGCTGAATGAATTGGGGAAGGTAGTGCTATTAACCAAATAGCAATTCAGAAGAAGCAGTTGAGAGAAAGAAAATGGTAAGTTTGTTTGGAACATGGTCATTTTATTTTGCAGAAATCCAGATTAAGCTTCTTATGAATACTGAAGATGGTGCAAGAAAACTGGGACCTGACCTCAGCGCATCAATCAAGTTGAGTCTAGCATATTTGGAAGTCATTTGATTAGAGGATAAAGTTAAAGTCATGATGTTGGATAAACGTATTAAGGAGTAAGGTGAAGGATTAAAAAGAAGAAAAGAAGGTTATTTCAGTTAGGATAGATCTAGATTATGCTATAATAACAAACCAACCCCCAAATCTCAGTGATTGAGTATGTCAAAGGTTATTTCTCATCCCCTCCGTTTTTTTTTTAGGTTTTTGCCAGAGGATATATGCACTCACCAGAGAATTAGAGGGAAAGTGAGAAATCACCTCCCAGGGGATGACCACTCCACAATTCTGTCTCCTCTACTCTCCTCTTAGGATTTTGGACGTGGGCACACATACGTGGCTTGAGTTTTAAGCTACTGGGTCAGGGATTCAAACCGCAGTCAGCCATGTGGGAGTCCAGTGCCTTAACCACCATGCCACTTGCTGGCCCCCTCACCCATTCTTTATGTCAAGAGTTGGCTATGGGGCCAGTCCATAGTGTGGCAGTTAAGGTGGCTGGATCCCATGTGGCCAACTGCACAAGTAGCATTCCAGACTCATGGTTTGAAAAGCACTCTGAGCACATGTGCATGTGTGCTCAAAATCTCAAAAGGAGAAATGGAGAAGGGACTGTGGCATGACCATCCCCCATGGTGGTGTTTTCTCTCTGTCTCTCTCTCTCCTTTTCTGTCTCTTTCCAGTGAGCACGGTGCCTTCTAGCAAATTTAAAAAAAAAAAAAAAAAGAAAAAAAAAGAAAAAATGTTGACTAAGAGTTCTGCTCAGCCCCATCTCTGGGATTCAACCGGATGGGCAACCAACCACCTGGAGCATTATTGATCTCTGTAGCAGGAGGAAAGGAGAACCTCATTCTGGTAATTAAGTGCTTTAGCCCAGAAGTGACAGACTTTACTCCTGCTCATAAATCAAAGACCAGACGTTGTCACCTGGCCCTGCCCACCATCAGGGAGGCAGAAGTATCACCCCACCCAGCATCATCCCACCCAGCATCTTGCAAGCCAGCTGATGGTTACCCTAAGGCCCAGGACAGAAGTCATTACAAACATGCTACTTTAGCAATCTGAGAACTACGAGTCTGCACCGAAGGAGGATAGAGAAAGAGTGGTCAGACATTGCAGGAGGACCAGGAGAGCACCACCAGAAGGACAGACCAGGAGTGAAGAAAGAAGCAATCAGTGCAGAAGTTTCTAGTAGAAAGGTACAGTATGCACAGTAGGACAGGGATTGAATGAGGTCAGCTGGCTGTCTCACAGGGAGCTTCATGATACCACTCATTCCTGATGGATTTCTCAGGGTCATCATTTCTATCTCTCAGTCCAGCCCTAACCCCACAACTACCCATAATCAAAATGATGCACACATGGGGCTACCCTAAGCCTGTTGCCATTGAACAATCTGTGTGTAATCCCAAACCCTTTGCTCTGATTTCATTCTTATTAAGTAAACTTCTGCTTTTGTTGTGTCTTTCCTTAAACGTCTACCTTTAGCAAGAGAAAGTGTAAGATGTATAAAGCAAGAGCATTTCAGATCACATCACAATTCTGCCACTCACTGGGTAAGTTTAAAACTCACCATTCAGGGACCAGCAGATGGCATAATGGTTACGTTGCCAGACTCCCATGTAGTTGACTGCCATTTGAGTCCAGGACCCAGCCACTTAAAACTCACGCCAGGCATGTGTGCATGGATGCCCAAAATTCTGAGAGGAGAATGGAGAAGGGATTGCAGCGTGGCCATCTCCCAGGTGGGTGATTTCTTGCTTTCTGTCTCTTTGTCTCTCTCTGGCGAGTGCATGTGCCCTATAACAAAAATCTCTCTGTAAAAAAAAAAAAAAAAAACTCAGCATTTGGGTTTTATACAGCACTGAATATATAAGTCTTGGTATTTACAAGTCTCACATTACATGGTTCCACACTTGATATGTACGCAAATGTGAGGCTTCCAAGCTTTGTATGTACTATCTCATTTTTCTGTAATAAGAATATGGGGATAATGAAACTTCATACTGAAGAGAAACAAAAAGAGGAGCATAAAGGAGAATTCGAGATGAGGAAGGGCAGATAAAAGGAATAAAAAAGTAAATTAATGGGGGGGACTAGGAATAAAGACTAATTTCAGAAGCCTGAAGAGTTTAGTGGCCTTTTTATTTTTGCTGACTTTAAAATAACTTTGGAATCATTTACAGACTAT